GGGGGGGTCCTGGCTTCTTCCGGTCACCCAAACCCTGGGGTCCTTCGTTGCTGGTACCTGCTCCAGCACCCTCACGGGCCTAAAGCTGATCTCCAGCAAAGCAGGTGGAGCATCCTCTATCTCCCAGCATTGGAGGCTCCTACATTCTGTTCCCACCAATTCCTGCCTCTCCTTGCTCCCCTCCCCCATGTCAGTAATGCCCGTTTTCTCCCTTACTCCACCTGCATTTAAATATTTTTTCCTGAATTGGTGTCTGCCGAAAGAACTTAACTGATACAGTATGTATGTTGAGCTACTGAAATCCAGAGACGTGCAGGGAAGAGAATTTAATTTTCAGCCTGGGTTTTCTCCCCTTGATGGTACCACCCATCTTCTGTGGTGACAAGGGTTGAGGCTGTTAGTTGAAGGTGGGAGAAGGCCAATGTGGCCTGTTTTCCTATTTGATCAGTTATGAGAATCCTCTCTCTGGCTCCTGCAAATTGTCTAGCTTGGCTCCTTGAGAGAGAGAGTACCTTGTGCCTGTGGTGTGTTGTAAACTGAGATTCAAAACTTTTCATCATGATTTTGCCACGTCCTAATTGTTTCAGTTTTAGAAACGTATTAGTATCTACAGAGTGAGGATCAGATATATATGTGAAAGCAATCTAAACTGCTATGCAAGTGCAGCTTACTGTATGTATGAATGCAGTGCTGTAGAGATGACACTGTTTTCTGCAGTACACACTGTTTTTTTTGAAAGGTATTATGCTTGTTGCCTGTTGCTCTCTGGGTTTGTTCCTTAACCCTCTTTATGGTGCCTAATGCAATCCAGTTCTTTGCTGCTTTGCCCAACCTCACGTTTTAAAGCAACACAATCTCTTTCTTTTTGCCCTCCACCCAGCATCTCTTTTAGTTAGCTCCTTTTAAGGTGTCCTCTGAAGGTTCTACTTAACAGGTTAGTATTTATTTTTATCCTTAAACATTTTCTTTACCTTAACTTAATGAACATTGAGGTTTTGCATCATGCTCTACTCCCACCCAGAGGTAGCTTCTGTTTCCTGTGACTTTGTGGAAAAGGAGGAATCAAATTGCTTACCTGTCTCCTCTTCCACTTCCCTCTAATTGTTGTGTACTACTGTCATTACACTCCTGTGGAGGGTGTTGTAATGCAGTTAACATTTTCTCTGAAATCATAGTAGCACCATCTACTACTCAGAAAGCACCCAGACCTATTTGAATATTTTTTCCCTCCACTCTATTTCTTGTTATCATAATTCTCAGAGCTGTCAGCCACTTAGTAATACTCTAATCTCATAGTTTCTCAGAAGGGAGACCATTGACGCCGGTTTCTGTTTTATGAAGAGGGTTCAAAAAGTTTACGGAAAAATTCCATTATTTTCAAAGCTCCCTATGTCACAGCAGCTTCACGTCAGAATCACTACAGCCTGATTCTCACCCATGACATTCTGCCTCCTCAGATGTTCTCCATTACTTTAGCCTCCTTTTTGGCCACACTCAACTTTTTGCCGCTCCTTAGGCTCTCTGGGAGCCCTGGTGGCAGAGTGGCTATGGGTTGAGTTGCTAACCACAGGTCAGCAGTTTGAAACCACCAGCCTCCTCAGGAGAAAGATGGGGCTTTCTACCCCCATGAAGAGTTGGTCTTGGAAACCCACAAAGGCAGCCCTGCCTTGCCTTATTGGGTTGCCAGGAGTCACAATTGAGAGTGAGCTTTTTTTTTTAGTTTGAGGCTCTCTGGAAGAGGAGCTCCAGGGGTGCCGTGGTTACAAACCACCAATGCTCAAAACCACCAGCCTCTCCACAAGAGAAAAGACCCCGGGGTCCGCCTAGGAAACCCTACAGGGTCGCTTTACTCTGTTATATAAGGGCCTCTGACTTGGATCAACTCGACAACACACACACATCAGCAACTGACTTCCTAGCTCTGACCTTTCCCAGCCTTCCAAGTCTCAAGCACCTTTTGTGCTGGCCAGGTAGACATTTGTGACCAGTCTTTTTGAAACGACCTTCATTGCTTTATTTGTTCATTGTGGTTTTCATACCCATCCACAGTTTTCTTTTCGATTCCAGCCTACTGCCTGTTGTTACAGAAAGCTTGAAAACTGGTAGAATTGGGATACCATAATTTTACAGTAACTTCTGTCAAGCTCACGGCTTCTCTCCAGGTTATGTCCTGATTTCCTGTTATTTTCTCACGACTCCCCCCCGCCCCCCAACTTCTCCTGTTCTTTGTGACTCCATCTTCTATTTTACTGAGAAATACAGATCCATTTTTCCCCCTATCTGCAGCCAGGTTTTTTGAATATGGAGTCAAAAACAAAACAAAATAAAAGTCACTTCTGTCAATCGATTACGACTCCTAGTGACCCTGTAGAGGTCCTGTGAGTTTCTGAGACTGTAACTCTTCACGGGTATAGAAATCCCTGCCTTTCCCCTGGAGAGCAACTGGTGGTTTTGAACTGCTGACCTTGCGGATCGCCTAACCACTAGGACACCAGGTCAGCACTTGCTAATTTCACTTCCTTACTGCTTATTTGTTCACTAGCTCCATGTGGTTTGCATGTTTGGCACCAGTCTCTTTTCCTAAGGTTGCCCATGCCTTTTCACTCTTGAATGTGCTGCTGCCTCAAAACTAGCCTGACCAAATCAGTGTTTTCCTTATTTCTGTTACAGGCATCGTGCTCTAGCCAACCCAAGACCAACTCTTCAGATCATCCACTTTCCAAACAGTTTTACGTTTATAGAAGTTGAGAAAATGATATGGAGCATCCCCTTCTCCATTTCCTGCTCCCCATGTTATTAACATATTAGTATGGTACGTTACTTACAGTGAAATGAACCAGCATATTGATACCAAGTGAAACTGGTGGCTTAGTGGACTGCACACTGAGCTGCTAACTGCAAGGCCAGTGGTTCAAACCCACCAGCTTCTCTGCAGGCGAAAGAGGAGTTACCGTCTGGGAAACCCACAAAGGCAGTTCTACTCTGTCCTACCGGTCCCTGTGAGTCGGGATCTGCTTGATGGCTGAATTTGGAGTTTGTTTTTCATATGGATGCAATGTTCTATTAACTAAGGTCTGTGCTTTATTCAGATTTCCTATTTATTTTACCTACTGTCATTTTTCTGTTCCGGGATCTCATCCAGGATACTATATCACATTAGTTCTCAAGTTGCCTTAGTTTCCTCTCGGCTGTCAGTTTTTCAGGCTGTCGTTCTTTTTTATGGCATTAATTCTTTGGGGGAGGACTGGTCAGGAATTTCTTTGAGTGATACCCTGGCTTACTCATTAGGATGCCTTCAGAAGTCCAATCAAATCAGCAACTTCTAAAGGAAGCTCCTGAACCAGTTCCCTTCCAGGCACAGAGGCCCGCTCAGATGATTCTTACACTCTTTTTGGACACTCCAAAGAGGTCATTTTGATGGAGCTTCTCAAAGGACACAGGATGATCCCAGCAGTTTATTATGAAGAAGTTTTCAGAAAAGTGAAATTAAACCGGTGAGAAAGGAGGCCAGGAAAGTTGCACACAGGAATTGATTTCCATCATGACGCATTCATACAACTGCTCATTCTTTTAGGCCAGCACGAGCTGTCCTGTAAGAATCCCATTGGGAAAACGTAGCCCATCTACCCTTCAGCCCTGATCTTGGCCTTTCAGACTTACTTCATTTTGTTTTCTAAACTCAAGGAACACAATTTCAGGGATGCCCAAACTGTTCTTTTGATGTATAAATTGAAGCACATAGAATTATCTGGAGAAGGGTTGGGGAAAACCACCTGCAAAGTATGTAGATCTAGATAGAGGATGTGTTGGAGAAACAGTATGTTGAGATTTTGATTTTTTGTTTAGTAAAGGTGTCTGTGGTTTTTAGCAATACTTTTTGACTCACCCTCATTCTTTTTTTTTTTTTAATCATCTTATTAGGGGCTCATACG